CGAAATATGAAAGTTTGAAAAGCCAATAAATTCTTTTTTATTTGATACACTTTACACGAAAACAAAATTGTATTCTTCAATAATAATTAAGAGGATCTGAAATAACGAGTAGAGTTAAAAATGTATAAAAAAATCTGCGATTTCAAATATTAATATTAAACAACTTTATAGAGATACTTCATTAAATGTATATTGAAATAATATTAAAATGCTAAATCACGTCGAAACAATGTAAAACTGAATTTTATCATCAGTATTTTGTCGAACTACTTTTATAAAACATGCAAATTGTACTCGTACATTTGAAACTTTTAATTTGTTAAAAATAATTATAAACATTGATATAAAATTACGGTTCACGAAGTAATTTTCATACAAAATTGAAAAGCTGAATGTATTTACGTATCCGTTAATATACAATGCATTTTTTTTTAAATACAACTTTTTTAAATTTACATGTTAATTAAACAAATACAAATTACATTACTTTTTTTCTATCACATTTGTAACAAACTTATTTTTTACATTTTGAAAATATATATATTTTATACTAGTAGAAAGCTGAGAACACATTATTTACATAATCGACAATAAAATATGTAATACATCATTAACAATCATATTTATTCTAATATTAAAATCAATTTCCATATGAAATGTCTAAAGTTCATGTATAAAATTTAATCGTGTAAATTTGGTGTTATTATTCAATTTCTTATTTTCTTAACCAGAAATTTGAGACTTTCTTAATAGATTATTTATAATTTTCTCTATAATTCAAAATTATTGTATTGACTCTCCGTGCTAATTACTGAATTTTCTTGTATATATGTAACTGTTCATTAAATTAAAATCAAATCTGTACATTGAAAAAAGTCATTTTTTAATATACATTATTATCTTGTCATTTGTTCCCAAACCGCCCTGTTCTAAGATACGTACTTTAACAATTTTAGAAGACGAATTTTCAAATTAATTAATTGAGAATTCAAAATTTCTTTACTAAAACAATAAACATATATGTATATATAAAATACGAAATATGTTTCAGGTAACCGAAAAAGTATAAGAGCTTTATTCAGATCATAGTATATACAGAGTGTAATCTCTTTGCAATAATTAGTTATTATATTGTCTCAATATCGATGCATTAGTATTCTTAATACAGATGCAATATTAAATGTATCCATGTAATACAGAATTATAGTCGCTCAATCATATATGTACAGGTGCCTCACAAACTCTGTCCACTAAAATATCTTTAAAACTTTTGACGATCATGAAAAATGTTTTACAGAAGAATTAAATGATTTCAAGAGAAGCATAATTTTATACAATTAGGTTTTTCTGTAGATAGACGCGTAAAGAACACATGAAGGTCAGTAATGTTTTTTTTTAAAGGAATCATATCCTTTAATTCACTATTTAATGCAGCTCTTCATTCCTTGTAGTAAATTATTAAAAGTCACTTATAACAAAAAACCATTAGTTTAAAAGATATCTGAATGTAAATACTGTATACTATACCGTTCAAATATTATTTTATAAAATAATGGTCTCCTTCAAATGGTATTCAGTATTTTTTAACATATTAATAGATTCAGTTACCCATTCTCAACAAAAAAGTACTGCATCATTTATGACAAAAAACCATTACTTTAAAAGATTTCAACTTAATAATTTGCAAGTTGCAATATTTACATTAAAATATCTTCTAATTTCATTATTTTTCACTATACATGGCGTAATACTTTTCTAGAGGAAATGATTAGTTGCCTCAAATATTGTATTAAAAAATATATAATTTCGTTTAAAAAAACATTAATGATCCTTACACATATGTCCTCCACGCGTTTTCTCGCGAAAAAAATAATTACAGCAAATTATGCGCCCCTTAAAACCATATAATTTTTGTCTAAAACATTTTCCACTATCATCAACAGTTTTGAAGATATTTGAATGAACAAAATTCGCGATACACTGTACATGTATGTATGTACACACAAAATACTGAATTGTTCTTGATTTCATAATATTGCATGCTATACCTCACCTAAATTTTGTTATATACGTAAACTCGTCAGTTTTCATGCTATATGCAAAAATAAGTATGTAGTATTAATTTAAAATAATAAATTTCCGATATTTTCATCTAAATTACAGTATAATTTTTCTACAATATTTACATTTAATAATTTTTTTTATTTGTATATAAAAATATCTCATAAAAAATGCCTTAATTTATTAAATATTTTGTTACTTTTTCATTTTTAATTACATTTTATAATTCGACTTTATATATTTGTTAAATAGCCACATTAATCGCCTGTCATGTTATCTAATTATAATATAAAAATATTTACTTCATTTTCATCAAGAATAATAAAATCGAAATCATAAAATAACGTTAACTTTAAGATCAAAAGGTTTTGAAGTATATTGTTTACCATGCGATCGTGGCTTATGAATGAATCTTATCTTCAATTCATCAGTCTCAAAACGTTTAAAAAATGACAAATATTCTTTGATACTGTAATTATAAATATGCTTCACATTACACTTGTAATAACAAAATACCTAGGTTGGCAATGTTATAAAATTAAATAAACAGATCAAACAATTAATGGAATAACCGATAAAACTTAACCTTATTGAAAAGTATTTTTAGTTTGTTTTTACCTAAAGTAGACACAGAAATGTAGTCTAACGAGTTTTCATATATTTCATAAATTTTATAAACAAATTTAATTAATATAGAAAACTATTGTTAATAATAATTATGCGTTTTTTTTAAATATTTCATACTATAAATATTACATCTGACTAGTAACATTTTAATTTCAAACATTGCAAATTTGTTAAATAATAACGATAGCAATCAAGAATCTTACATACAACAAAAAAAAGAATATATATTTCTGAGAAAAAAATCGCAGTTGCGATAACATGTTCTGAATATAAGCAAAAGAAACAAATAAGTATAACATCACGTATACATCTCCGCCGGACTACATATAACCTCATATTACGCAGATACAACAAGTACGGTGACGTTTGCGTATTGCAAACATGTCTTCCATACATTGATTATATTCCCACCATTTTATGTATAATCAGCTTCACATATTCCCAATATAATGAACACATATTTTATTTAAATTAAAAATATAAAATAAGCCACGTCGACAAATTTCAGAGACCAACAAAGAGATTACATTTTCAGCGTATGAACGGAAAAAAATTAAAGAAAAAAGGTAGTACCATTTTGGCGCCTTGTATCATGTATATTTTGTCGACGATATGGCGCATACAGTAAAAACAGACGCTTAAAAGACGCTTACGTTTAAACATACTGTGCATGACACTCCTTCTTCCCCCTCCCCCTTTAACGCGAACCAATTCAATTACTTTAAACAATATAATCTACGTAATTCGAGCTCTACAAGATGTATATCGTCAGAAAAATATAAAATAATTCGGAATGTGAATATGCCACTGTCGATTATATGTACGCTAGCTCTCAGAGTCTCGAGAATTGGACATGAGCGGGAAATGAAAAGCAACGCAATATATTGTAAATTACGCCACAGAAAACAAACTGATGACTAAAAGTCGCTCTTATTTTTTACAAGTTTTCCAACTGCTCGATGCTCACCATTGTAATCTACACGTCAAATGGCAAATTATTCGTTATAAAACTGTGTCGGGTACTATAGTACAAGATCCCATATATGCCAATGCATGGCGCAAGTAGCCAAACAGAGACGGATCGTACGCGGGCTATAGCCTTGACGGTTGATTTATGACGAAACACCCGTAATATAAGCCTCGCCGACATTTTATGTTACAAATCTAAAGTATCTATGTTTTCACGATAGTAAAAACTGTCACGCGATATTTTCCCACATATTAGCACATAACGATAACAAGGTACACGAGAACCTTCTTGCTAAACACATCTCCGGGCAGCCATTTGCTATGACGGTTGTGTAGAAATAAAAGGTATATGCACAGTACGCAGCACAGTAGCACTTCACCGAATATTTGTTCATATTACGCGTATCATACGGCGGTGGTAGCCTAGTAATCAATTGTTAGTCGTTGAAATCTGTCAACGCTTGAAAAGAAAAATATTTAGATTTTTCTTACCTGAACAGTCCTCTACAGCTAAAAGGATTCTCAGCTTCGAATATCGCGACCCCACGCCACTTGTGCGGCATATGAAAGTGTATGGGGAAAATCTGTATTACCATTGGCTTATTTCAGATAAGCCGCAAAAAGTAAGCCAATCAGCATCAACCTTTTATGTTTTGAAGCGTTTCTTTTTACCCCCCCCTCAATAAAATGTCTGCTGGTGGAAAGAGCGGGAAAAATCGTGCGTGGAAAACCGTTTACAATCTATTGTTGATATTGCACTAACTATTGCCCATTTTACCTAATCGAACAAATGTATTTTTGGTATTAAAACGTACTTATTATCTTTAAGTTTATTAACGGTATCTTTTAACGTACGAATAATTTAAATTATTAAGGTTAGGGTTTATTATTATCGTAGATGGCGTTAGATTCTGTAAACTATATATATTAAAGCATAAATTACAGTACCACCAACGTGATGCAACCAGTACTTACTATATATGTTTTTTAAAGAAGTAAACATGTTCTATTGTATAAATGCACATATATGTTAAAATATTTAAATATAACCAATACTGAAGTTGTATTAAATTATACATTTTGTAACATATGAATAACATTTGATAATTTTTAATATAAATTACATTTGGGAATCATCTTTTCCTACAAGTTGTTAACAAATTGAATTCTAAAAACCTGTTATTGTGCTCATAATTGTTAACAGTTTCGAAATAAACTATAATAAGCAAGTATGAGCGTTTAAAAATCAAACAGAATGAATTCAAACAGTGCATAAATAGATATTTACAAATATGAGTGCTTGCATCGCAAAAGTATCCGAATCGAACACATAAATAGGGGTCCAATGTCTGCCCTCTGTTAGCGATGTGTAGAAGTTGCATTTCATTCTAGGATTTTTAGGGGGCTCCATAAGTCAACTACAGATCGCAATGGTATTTAAAGCACTTGGTTTTGTGGTTAAATGTTATCACTAACCTAAGATTAAAATGTTAACGTAAACGGATACGTAGTAAAATATCAACGTAAATATTTATTTGTATATTTATTTATATCATTTGAGCATTTAACTATTTACGTTATTTAAATTGCCAAATCCAAATGCGATTCTTAATTTTATATTGACTCCGATTTTGTAATTTTATATGCGAAAGTAAGTATACATAGGTATTATGCAATAAACGTGATTGAAATATGAGAGAAATTTTAAGCATTTTTCTATTGTTTTTGAGTTTTGCACAAAGGACATTTATATAGGCTGAAGTCACATTTCCTGTTTTGAGATATTTAAACGTTTGTATTTGATCATATTAAAAAATATTTTTCCATGCGTAATGCAAAATGTATCAAAAATTAAATGTTCTGCTAATGTAAAATTAATCAAAGTTCATTAAATTTCATAAATAACTTTCGGGAAAGTGTATGTTTTGAACAGTTGAATGACTTACACCACTTTCAAAATTAGCAATATATCCTAGTTAATGTCTCGACAAACATTATAAATTTCATTAAGAAAACAATTTAATAAGAAGAAAAGAAATTTATTTTTAGAATTGTATTATTTATTTTATGATTACAACTTTATAATTATTATTTCAATAAATTTATTCACTTTCTACTTTGCTACATGATTTTCTATATTTCACACTTAAAGGGCTTTAAAATATTCATGATGAATTGATGAAATGTAAGATAATAAAATTATGAAAATAATGGAAGACAAGTTATCTAGGAAAAGTCATCGTAAACAAAAACGAGCTTACCATAGGCTTTTAAGAGACATGAATATTAAATGTTGTGATAATCCAACAAAGGTTTGTATTTTAATTATAAAAATAAAATAATTTACAATAATAACAACAGAAAAACGCAATATGTATGTTTTATTGTATGTTTTTGTATAGTATATGATGATTTGTAATGCTGGTTTAATGACTGGATTACAAAGAGAAACATTGCAAAATGTTGTAGATCCATTGGTCAGTAAATATGATTTAGTAATGTTACCAAATAAATCATATTGCTTTATTAAATTTTATTCTATAAACGATGCTGAATATGTATATAATAAAATTCATGGTCAAATTAAACTTGAAGGACGAAATACACCTTTGTATGCATCATTTACAGAAACAGGTATACAATGTAATTCCTTTCAAAATTTATACTATATTTTCTTCCATTTTTAGATAAATCGAAATAGTATATAAAATTCATATATTTTAATTTCATTTTAGATCCTAAATTAGATTACTATCAATTATCTTCTGATCTTCCTCCTGGGCTTAGAATGATAGAAAATTTTATAACGGAAAACGAAGAAAAGGATTTGTTAAATACTCTGAATTGGAATAACAAAGGTACTATAAAGATATATTTTTAATGAAAAGGTATTTCAGATTGTTAAACGTTAGAAATTTATAATAGTTCAATTGTTTGGTTTTTAGTATCAAAATCATCAGACTTAAAACATAGAAAAGTGAAACATTTTGGATACGAATTTGAATACAATTCAAATAAAGTAAATTCTGATAACCCAATTGCACCTATTCCTGAAAGTTATCAATTTTTACAAGCACGATTCAGAAAATATGATATTCCACATGAATATGATCAGTTAACAATTAATCACTATCTGCCTGGTCAAGGTATATTTTACAGTGCATTCTATAACAGAAATTTCTTTATAAAATAACTGATATTTTACAATTTAAGGAATTCCACCACATATTGATACACATAGTGTCTTTGAAGATACTATATTATCTTTGTCATTGGGTTCAGCATGTATTATGGATTTTAAACGAAAAGATAAAAGAATTTCTGTTCTTTTACCACCGCTTTCATTGCTAATTCTGTCAGGAGAAGCTCGATATGCATGGTCACATGGAATTTGTCCGAGGCATAATGATGTAATAGACTCTGTAAATGGAATTACAACACAGCCACGCAACACAAGGGTATCGTTCACATTTCGTAAAGTGAAAACAGGTTCTTGTTGTTGCACTTTTCCAGAATATTGTGACACAAAAGATAACTGTAACACTACTTTCATTGATGATAAGACAGCTAGAGGAATAGAAAATTCTTATGTTCATGAAGTATGTTACAAAGCATATTTTATACTATTTATATTATTTTTTTATTATCTATAGAAAATTATTAAATAATATTTATAGGTTTATGAAAATATTTCAAGTCATTTTGATGAAACAAGACATAATCAGTGGCCGAATGTGTCAAAATTTCTTCAGTCATTAAATCCAGGTGATATTCTTTTAGACATAGGTTGTGGAAATGGCAAATATCTCCATGAACACGAACATATATTTAAAGTATGTATATTGATTATCATTCTTGTTTCTATTAATTAATTGTTAAAACAACAAAAACAAATTTGATACTTCAGATTGGATGTGATCGAAGTCAAAATTTAATGAAAATATGTCGTAACAAGAATTTTGAAGTCTTTTTATCCGACTGTTTATACTTGCCATACAAAAATAATAGTTTAGATGCTGTAATAAGTATAGCAGTAATTCATCATCTCTCAACGCACGAAAGAAGAAAACAAGCAATTTCTGAATTAGCACGAGTTCTTAGACCAAATGGGAAGTGTTTAATATATGTATGGGCAAAAGAACAAGAAGTGGATTCTATGCAAACAGCTTATTTAAAATATAATACAACTAAAAAGAAAAATAAATCTTTGTATAAACAAAAATTGACAGAGTATGGTGTAACATTACCAATCCACGAAAATCGTACAAAATTCACATCTACCGATATGCTTGTTCCCTGGAAAAGGAAAGGAGGAGGAGACTTCCTTAGATATTATCATGTATTTCAAGAAGATGAACTAGCACAATTATGTTCGGAAGTAGTTGGCTTTATAATGAAAGATATATACTATGATCAAGGGAATTGGTGTGCAATTCTACAAAAAAAGTGAGATAAATTGATTAAAATAAAATCGGTTAATAACAAATATCATGTGTTTTTTAATGTATTTGTAAATACTAAAATCTCAAAATTAATTGAGAAATAAAACAGAAATACAAGGATGCTTTATATGTTTTTACCTTTATTGGAAAAAGAACAAAATACATGGAATATGTATACTATACAGGGTTTTGGATATAAATAGTCCCTGATATCTAGTTTTCTCGTTATAAACATGAATAATGCATTATTAGACAAGACAAGTGCACTGTACAAAGCTCACTCTGCTTGACTTTTACTTGCTATTGTGCTTCAATTGTATAACATATTTAATAGCAATATAGATTATCATTATCATTGTCATTAATAATAATATTATTATTATCATCGGCATCATAGTTCTCATTGTTATTACTATTGATATTAATATAATTACTTGTATTAGGTATCGTTTGTAAATATATTAGCACACCTTATTCACAAAAAGAATAGTATCCCCAATTATAAAATTAATATGGAAAGACAATTGTTTTCAAATGCTACTTCCACGATTGCAACTAAATTTTATATCAAGTGTAAATTTTCTTCAGATATTAATGCCATCAGTGTACATAATATATACAACGATCGACAATACTAAACTATTAGTAAAATTGTTATATATTTTCAATTGGCGAGTGCTTGACTTAGGACAAAGTATACTGTCCTTTTTTCCTTAATGTATTGAAAAACTTACACAGGCCCAACTTCTTCAGGATCATAATTTTTTACTCTTTTATTATATGCAATTATTTCCTAAATAATCAAACGTTAATCTTGAATTTTTCTTTTAAGTCTTTGAATAAAAAATTGAACAAATTTTACTTACTCTTTCATATCTGGCTCTATCTTCTTCTGCTATTGCCATATACTTTGATTTAGTTTGAAGATCTGTACTCATCCATAGTTTACCCAACTCTTTAGCAATATCACCTACTCCCATTTCTGGATGTAGTTCTCTCATTTTTCCGCGTAATTCTTGGCAAAAATAGAAAAATGCAGACCTGAAATAATATTTATAAAAAATACATCAAACACTAATCAACATCACAGACACGTACAATGCTCTTTTCGGTGCATCTTTGTCTCTGTATCTTTTTGTTCCCCTACGTGTTGGTTTCTCTGTCTCGTCATGGCTCACATAATGTCTATCATAATAATGCATTTTCTTATTGCAATGTGCTCCATCTTCAAGATGTACAATCTACCATGAATGAAACATAATTCTGTTAATTATCAAAATCTCATTGGTGTTATTTAAAATAAACTTACTTCATTCTTTACTGGTACTGCGTTAATAATAAAATTTTTACTTTGCATATTTGACCATTTTGCTTGATTGTTTGAAACACTGGATACATTTCCAGGTTTCATTACAGGTTCACCACATTCTAGGTGTTAAACAATTAATTATGCATGAACTTATAAATTAATAAAATTTCTTTTTAAAAATATCATGCTTTTATAATATATCATTAATATTTAATAACTCAATTTGCAAAGTGTCTAGTATAAATGTCTCAAAACATAGCAACATTTTACCTGGTGTCATATTTGTTTGACCAACAATCATTGTGTCTCGCATTCCAGTATTCAAAGAATTATCACCAGTCTTTGTAAGATAAACATTTTTCCTATCAGATGATTCCATAGTTGTAGAATATTCTTGTCTAATATCCTTTGCCGAAGAGATCAATAAAGTTTCCAAAATTGTAATAATCTATAATAACGTTATGTTACTTTACTTTACTTCATTAAATCATTTTATAAACAAAAATCGTAGAATTCAATAACAAACTAATACCTGTTTATGTTTAAAATATAAAATTAAAGAAATATATGTTTATATATTTTAAATATTTGAAAATCAATAATTACCTCCTCATTTCTAAATTAATAATGAATTTGTTTACAATAACAACCATTAAAAATTAAATATAGTCATAATAAAACATATATAAAATAACAATATAAACAGAATCCATGAGTTTTATATCATTCTTATACTTCCTTTTATATACTAATTTTTATACTTGGATACAATTTTATAACGACTATTAAATATTACTTACCACAAATACAGTTATATGAACCATATAATACTCTATTGTCACGACTTTAATTAAATACCATTATGGATAATTTTCCCAAGCTCTGTAGAACAAACATGACAAAATTCAAAATCTTGTAGTATAAGAACAACAATTTACGAACAAATTCAATTATGAATGAAGAAGTAAAATATACTTTTCACTGTTTCATTCGATATCGTATAATTGATAATATAAATATATTACATTTTATTGTTTAATTTTATTGATATTATTTGTAACAATTTATTCTAAATTCTGGTACATTTATCTCGAATACGTCGCTTTTACAAGCATTACGAGTCACAATGTAAGTTACATACCGCGTGTAATAATAATAGATTGTACATATATATATATATATATATATATATGTATATATATATATATTCAATAATATTTTTGTAAATTCTGAATAAAAAGTAACATTGTCAAAACAATACATTTCCTCGTTACGATACAAACTGTAAAGAGGTACACTCGTAATATAAAATGCTTTTGCAAAAAATGAATATATGTACTCGGTAAAATCACAAAAGTAAAAAAATTAATAGTGATAAAAGTAAGAAAACGAATAGAAATAACAAAACATTCGAATATAATAAAAATACACAAGTAATGAAAGTACGAGATGAATGTAACAAATATTTACCTACAGATGACGTACAAAGGCAATCGCCACTACACAACACAAAATAAAAGCTGCCTTTCACGAGCTACGACGATGCACTACTCAAAAATGTTGGAGTGATAAACGAAACAGAATTAAGTCTAACGCGTAGAAGGTGATTAAACTTACCAATAATAATTGAAAAACAACGTTGCAAAGGTGTTCGTAAAAAGCAACTATAAGCAACGCGGAAAGTAACTTATTAAGCATTCATTCTACAGATCGGTTCTATCTACACGTATCTATCTGTACGTATCACGCGTATCGTGATCAGCATTATACACGGAACACGTATGATACTTAAACGCAACTTTAACTAAACACTGATATTCAGATTTATTGAAATTCCAAATATTCACTAATACAATACTCGTCAGTTATTGAACCATAGAACGCGGATTATTGACGACAGGAGTCGACGTTAAAAAACAGATCGTATAAACCAAACTAATTGAAGCAGATATGACCGGGCATGGCTATTTCACGGTGTGTATGTAGACGCATAATGCGCGCGCGCGCGCGCGCTCGTGCATACATACCCACTGACCATTTATAACATTATTCTCTTTTATTAAATATTGAAGTTTCCATTTTAGTGTCAAATATTCTTTTTTCTTTGAATTTAATTCCTGAAATCATATTAGAATTAAGAAATCTAAAAATTTGTGTACTTAACCAAGGAAATGTTAAGGTAAGTTCATATGTTCGAATGGATGATTTTGTATAATTTCGGACAAAACTCTATTGATTGAAATGAGATCCGAACATTATTATCAAAGTAATGTAAGAATTGCACAAAATACAAGAAAATTATTGATAAATATGACTAATGTTAAAATTATCTGTTATATGTTCTTGATATATCAACTTCAAAAATATATGCTGGCAACAGTGATGCCAGAAAAGCACCTTCGGGTGCACACTCGACATGCTAGATACGCGTACGTGAGCTCGTGGAGTTTCGGAAAGACGACAAAGGCAAACTGACGCATGCCCTCTTTCTCGATTCTCCGAAGCTGTCCGAAGTAATTTCGGACCGCTTCGTGGTAGTCGAGAGAGAAAGGCTCACATTTGCCTTCTCGCTCTTAACAACTGAAATCCGACCTCCCGTCAACGGCATACGATTTGGATTCTCGAGCCGAGATTCTCGACTGCCCAGGCATTTTTACTTTCCGACCTATGTATGCGCACGTAAGCAAAGTATCCATAATGAAAAAAAAATTTTGTAAAATTTATTTTACGGAAATACACGTTTTAAGACCTCCTGATCATATTTTAATTATTGAAAAAAAAGAAATTTTTTTTTATTCCCATGTATGAGCACACATATGTATATGTATTATTAATACGATTGAGTATAAATAGCTAAATGAATTTAAATGAAACTTTAAATTTAAGTTTTATGTTCTCATTTCAAAGTCCGGTTAGACTTTGACTATAATCAGTCCATGGATAATAATGATTATACCTCTTGTTTCATAGTTGTTCCGATATATGTATAGGCATAATGTATAAAAAATCTTTTAAATGTTTCATATAAATCTTAGGACGAATTAAATTTTATATAAAAAAAATTATATTAACTTTTTCTCTATCTTCTCTAGAAAAGGAATGAAATTTAAATGAAATCTTATACATTACATGCTTACTTAAATCGCATTGAAAACGAATACCACAAATGTTTTAGAATAATGTGCAAAATGTGATTGCGATTTTCGCTAAGACAAATTGAAAACTCGTTTCTAACAAGGAAAAGTTGGAATGGTACCAGGTTTTGGGTTAGGTTTTACTTTGAGATATTATTAAAGTTATTACAGGTACTTATTTTCAGAAATAGAACTATGTTCACCACTAATCAGCGTGGCGTGAGTGATGAGGTCTTTGCCTGCAAGTTCCGAACTTCTTCTGCTCTGCTGGTTCGAACCCTGCTTGAACTTTTTTTTTTTATTTATTCAATCATACTTTAATCGTACACTAAATATGACATTATATTTTTGTCTGACCTTCGAATATTTTTTTTTAAAGTTAAATTTAACCGATTACATTTAACATATGTTATTTTCAATGTACGAAGTACATGAATCTGGATGGTACTTTTCACAAAAACAGTCAAAACATAAAAATTTCAAGCACCACGTACATTTACTGAAAGTTTGTTTTCACAGAAATTACAAAATTTTGTATTTAACTCTGATGGAAAGGCCGCTTCATTTACATTGATAAAATGTGAACGATTTTCGGATAGTCGTACCTTGTAGCTCGTACTTTTTACCTTATACTTCAGGTAAAAAGGGATATAGCTGGGAAAAACAGTTTTATGACATTACCTGCTAACTTATGTTACTGTTCTACAATGAAACGCTATGTTTTGTACCTTTAAAAATATTCGACTATGTCCTTTTAAAATTTAAGATACAACCCATACTTTGTATTAAACTGGCAAACGGGATCACTTTTCCTTTGTTTCTAGTTAGTTCTATTTAGTTCGTCATAACAAATTGATACGGTTATCTCAAAACAATCGAGGAAAATCATTATTAATTAATTTCTGCAATTATTAATTCTACTGTTTTGTTTGTTATAAAAGTAAGTACTCTTCTTATTGAAAAATACCACAGCGTGCTCAATACTGGTAAAGAGTGGAATCTCATTTTAATTTATTAATTTTCAATCTTAAAGTATTTTGATTTTCAAAAATCGTATTAATAATATACATATGTGTGCTCATACATGGGAATAAAAAAAATTTCTTTTTTTTCAATAATTAAAATATGATCAGGAGGTCTTAAAACGTGTATTTCCGTAAAATAAATTTTACAAAATTTTTTTTTCATTATGGGTACTTTGCTTATGTGCGCCTACATAGGTCGGAAAGTAAAAATGCCTGGGCAGTCGAGAATCTCGGCTCGAGAATCCAAATCGTATGCCGTTGACGGGAGGTCGGATTTCAGTTGTTTAGAGCGAGAAGGCAAATGTGAGCCTTTCTCTCTCGACTCCCACGAGGCGATCCGAAATTACTTCGAGCAGCTTCGGAGAATCGAGAAAGAGGGCATGCGTCAGTTTGCCTTTGTCGACTTTCCGAAACTCCACGAGCTCACGTACGCGTATCTGGCATGTGTGCGTGTGCACCCGACGGTGCTTTTCTGGCATCTCTGGTCGTATCGCAAGTCACGTGGTTATGTTTACTGAGTCTTCTTGGACGAAGTATATCATATACCGTATAACTGTGTATGTATAACCTGTGTACCGTATAACTGCGTACAATCTAAATTTTATATCGATTCTATCGTAAATGAAGTATCGATTAATAAATTGATGTATGCTTGTCAAGTATCGATACTAAAATACTTTTTTAGAATAGTATTTCATAATTATATAATATTTTATAAAAATAATTTAATGAACAAATAATTTATACCATCATTGATTATGAATAAGTTAAAAGTATTCATAATAAAACATAAATGATAGAATACTCTGACATTTGAATTAAGGTTATATGTATTTTGAGCATTCTACCTTTAGTGATCACATGCTTCACGTGTAAACAAATATACAAAATCATGAAGGAAACTTTGTTATCGAATTGTGAAAGAAAATTCGTAAATAAATCAGTGGAAAGAGGAACGGTATGATTTTGTTAATATTTCATTGCTTCAATTAAATGAGTACGTGATTAAAATTATTCAAATTTTTTAGCGATTAGATGGCAGAAATTTATTGGAAGCACGGCCTGTTAAAATTTATTTTGGATCCAATTGGGGAAGTTGTATGGTTCTACTTGGGCAAACTAGGTATAATTGAGATTAAATACGATGTTTCTTATTTTTCAAAATTTTCGTCTAGCATTAACAATTATTATTTTAGTATACATATATTTATTATATTATCTTCCATCATATAATTTTCACTATCTATTTAATTAGAAAAATAAATATAAAATTTATAAAATATCAGTAAATATTTATTATTTACAACATGTATGAACATATTTTGTGGTATTACCAAATGATAATTTCATTACAGAGCTGTAGCACAAGTAACATCTGATATTCAACAACCTAACACTTCTCGTCCTAATGAAGGAATGTTACATATAAATGTTGAACTTAATCCAATGGCTGCGCAACATTTTGATGGTGGTAAACAATCTGAGTCTTCAATATTGATTAGCAACCAACTCGAGAAGTGTTTCAAAGATTCAAAGTGTATAGATTTAGAATCCTTATGTATAGTAGCCGATAAAAAGGTCAGTAATTATCCAAAAACTAAAAATGTTACATAGAATTCTAATATCACGTGCCTCGTTATTAAGGTATATTATAATATCTAAATAGTTCAGAATTAACCATAGGTATTCTAGTGAATAATGGTTATAATAATTTTAGGAAAACTTCTTAAAAATGATATTGAACAATATATTAAATCGAATAATTAATTTGATACAGGTATGGAATTTAAGAGTTGATATTAATATTATTAATCACGATGGAAATTTAATTGACTGTGCATCGATTGCAACATTAGCTGCTCTTTCGCATTTTCATAGGCCAGATGTAACTTCGACTGGTGAAGATATTATAATTCATCCATTTTCTGAAAAAGATCCTTTACCTTTAACGTTGTATCATTATCCAGTTTGTATCTCTTTTATAACATTCGAAAGGTCAATATCTTTAAATAATTTAATTATATTAAGTAATGCAACTTTAGACACGGGTATTTCCTAAATAAAATTTTGTCTCTTTAGCGGCAATACAATTATGGATCCCACGTATCTAGAAGAAAGAGTTGGAGTAGCTCAACTTACTCTTGGTATAAATTCGTATAGAGAAGTTTGTAGTATGCATTTTAATTATTTGACAAAAACCATGACGGTGGAGGATGTTATATCAGCAGTTTCTAATTACGCTGCAAATTATGCTGCTGAATTACTGAAACAGATTAGAGAAGCAGTAACATATGATGTAGAAGCAAGGTTTACTTTATAAAATTGTATTAATTAATTGTTTTGTAATTAGTTTAATATGACATGTCTAACTTGTTTTAACCTTGTGCACGTCTGTAAAGGTATAAAAAAGATGACCGTAACACAAGTCGTTTTAAAGAATGTATAACAATGAAAAAATTGACTACAATGTACAGTGAATGCATTAGTATTAAACTACGCAAATGGGATGAAATAGAAAAAGTCGCATCTGAAAGTAAATAATTTTATTTTAACAATCATTTATCAGTTGGTTCATTTCATATAAAAATATTTTGAATTTAATGTCATAAATGTGTTAGAAGCTTATACCGAAGAAGATGAAAATAAGTATAGAATTATAAAACCTGGAAAGGGTTCTGCTGAATTAATAATAGATACTGTAAGTATCTTTTTAATTAGAAAAAGATAAAATTGAAATACTTTAAATGCACTTTACAAATAATTTCTGTAGGGCACATCAGTTGGTGAAGGTGGTCCTAATACGTGGAATATGTCAGAATCATCCGAGGAAGATGAAAGTGCCGTTGAAATTACAACCCAAGTAAAGAAGGAAGAGAAAGTGTCAGATAATATAGGTACCACTACATAATTTAGCAGTTTCTTTGCATGGTTTTAATCTACATAATTCCTTTAATGTACGAAATATAAATCACTAACTGATAATTATTGCTGTTTTAGAAATAAGTGAAGATAGCGAAGAAGAAACAATAGAAATGCTGGATACAAAAGATATACTGTAATAAATGTAAATTAATAAAGCCAATAAACAAAAAGACAATTTTACAAGTAGTATTTGATTATTTTCTTTACTAAATAATTATACTTATTTATTAGGTAATAATTTAAAAACTATAATATAAATAACTAGTATGTTAAGATGTACTGTTACAGATATATTTTGTGGTGTATTGTATACATAGATTTTATAAAATACCTATGCCTATTAACAAGTAAAAATTCATACATATACTTTTGATCTCACTAGTAAAATATTATTACAGTAACAAAATTTGTGAAGTAAAGTCTAGGTTATGTGGTATCATTACTTAAACCATTTTTTTGATCCAATTTATTTGCATTAGTTTTTACTGTATAAATGAAAAAACTTAATGCTTCTTTTTCAACTACAGGGATGGTTTTGAAATGCTTCATAAGAGTCTGAAACAATAATTACTAATAATAGATTTATATTCCCATCAAATTTTATATCTGGTTCATTTTTATAAACTTTTTTTTATGAAAAAAGACATACATTATGATATTTAAAGATAAAATATACTGTTATTCATATCAGATGCATTTGCTTAAATTACTTACATCAGCTAACTGAGCTTTGTTTAAGCCTGGACGCGTAGAAACTTTATAGTGCCTTTTGTATCGCCTTAATGTACCAACTTGTAATTGAAAAAGATCAACCTCTGGAAGATCATTATCTGTTTCACCCGAATCTTCTTCTGAATCCTTACGTCTGCGCTGTTGCTGTTGTTTAGATCTTGCACATTGTATTACTTGTTTATGATAATCACAAATGTATATATGACGCGCCTATTGACAAATCAGATATAAAATGATATAAGAGTCTTACCTAATCATATATCATCAAACCTTGGTACTCATACATTTACTTTAAAACTTTGATTATTCATGGGTAATTACAAACAGAAACAAAAAACATTAAAAAAACTCTGAACAAATTATATGGATATAAAAATAATAATTTATATTTTTTTATTTTCAATTTGTAGGCTATGCATAATATTAAGAAATATTCGATTACATATACTCGTATTACCAAAAATCAATAAATAAAATTTGTATATATCACTATGACATTGTTCAATGGCTTTAATTACCCATGAAGAATCTGAAAGATTTGTTCACTATGGATACTAAAGTTCCATTGCCCTCTATCCAATAATCTAAACTTCATTAGTAACATGTAATATTTACAATCATACAAAAGAACAATATTTTTTAAATAAACTTAAAAGAGCACGAGTTTTGTGAATAACCTTAAATGAAATTTTTCTTGATTTTTAATCTTACCACTTGATCGAGATTAAGTTTTAATCGCCGCTGAGTTACAGTTTTTTGAATACGTTTGCTGTAAGAAGCGTTGCCAGCTGGCCGAGTGCATCGTTCACCCTCATCTACAAGGCAACAAATTTGATCAGCAGCTCCTCTGGAATCTTCTTCACCGGTACTGAATCCATTCATTTTTTTTTATTCTTAACATCAACTAAATCAGTATGAAGAGTATGTAGAACTTTAACAACCTCAAAATGTCACGACGTACGTATTTGCGTCAAAAAACGGCGTGTCCCAGAATAAAATGCACTTGGTGATGTCTGCTTTTCACACTCATAATTTTCCGTTGAATTTCATTTGTCATTTGTTATTTACCAACGAAATTCATTTCTTTTTTCGCGATACAAAGTAATTCTTGTTACACGATATTTAGTTTGTATTTGAAGCAAAGATTCAAGCTTACAAATCGATAATTTAAACAGTAGAGTTTGCGTATTACGAACACCTTGAATTATACGACGTCGTCTAACATTTCACTTTCTTTCTTTCAAATAATTTGACGTATGAGTTAGTTTTATCCGTCCGCTACAACAAGTATTTTGAAAATCTTGTTAAAATATAAACATTCAAACCTACTATTTCCTTGCAATGTGTTTTTGTTTTTATAGATTTCTTTCAAATTCTATGACATAACACTTCACACGATTTCACCGCGTTTTATTATTTACACCACTACGTTGAATCACACGTTAACGCAGAGATACCAGAAGTGCACCGAAGGCACTCTCCCACACTATGCCAGATCACGCGTACGTGAGCTCGTAGAGTTTCGGAAAGTCGACAAAGGCAAACTGACGCATGCCCTCTTTCTTGATACTCCGAAGTTGCCCGAAGTGATTTCGGACCGCCTCGTGGGAGTCGAGAGAGAAAGGCTCACATTTGCCTACTCGCTCTTAACAACTGAAATCCGACCTCCCGTCAACGGCATACGATTTGAAATCTCGAGCCGAGATTTTTGACTGCCCAGGCATATTTACTTTTTGACCTATGTAGATGCACATAAGCAAAGTACCCATAATGAACCAAAAATTTTGTAAACTTTATTTTACGGAAATACACGTTTTAAGACCCCCTGATCATATTTTAATTATTGAAAAAAAGAAATTTTTTTGTATTATTCCTATGTATGAGCGTACATATGTATATTATTAATACGATTGAGTATAAATGGCTGAATGAATTTAAATGAAACTTTACATTTAAGTTTCATGTTCTCATATCAAAGACCGGTTAGACTTTGACTATAATCATCCCATGGATAATAATGATTATACCTCTTGTTTCATAGTTGTTCTGATATATAAGCATAATGTATAAAAAATCTTTTAAATATTTCATATAAATCTTAGGAAGAATTAAATTTTATGTAAAAAAAATTATAGAAACTTTTTCTCTATCTTCTCTAGAAAAGAAAAACTTAAATGAAATCTTATACATTACATGCTTACTTAAATTGCATTGAAAACAAGTACCACAAATGTTTTAGAATAATATGCAAAATGGTGTCACTTGCAAAGGGTTGATTGAGAAATAAATGTTTGGTAATTGAAGACTGGGTTCTAACAAGGAAAAGTTGGAATAGTACCCGGTTTTGGGTTAAGTTTTACTTTGAGATATTATTAAAGTTATTATAGGTACTTATTTTCAAAAATAGAACTACATTTAACAACCAGCATGAATGGTTAGGTGTTTGCCTGCAAATTTCGAGCTTCTTCTGCTTTGCAGGTCGAATCCTGTTAACACAAATCTTTGGTAATTATGTAGAACAGGTGTTTCCTCACCGATTTCAATTATTTTTGGATATGTTGTCGGGGGCATAATTCTGAACAACTTTTTCCTATACATGTTACCGCCGCTCAACCTTCTTTTCCGAGATATTTGTGTAAAACTCCGGTTTATTTATTTGGACGCAACGCATTCCAGTTTCCAATTTGTCCCGGGTATTAGTTTGGTTTGGGTTAGATTAGTGCGGGGGGGGTGCGCGCCCGCTTGCGGGCGCGTAACGCATGGTAGCTAACCGATCTGAGTTTAGAGATTTGAACCAGAAACTTGCGGATGCCCGTTAACACTCCAACTCACATCGGTTCGCTAACATGCTTTACGCGCCCCCACCCTTATCTAACCCAAACCAAACTAATACCCGGGACCACAGCCGACTCTAGTACTGTCCTCCGCTCACTTGAAGTCCCGCGAGACGGCACAGGGGCAAGGGTAGTCGGACCGCCCATTTATCTGTCTTGCTCACTTGCTCTCAGGCAGTCCACATGTGTGTGTAACTGCCGCGACGAATAGCGAGCTAGAGACCTATGTGTGCGTGGGAATACGTGTGCCCCTTCTACTTCTCCCGCATTCCTTCCGCGGGACTTCAAGTGAGCGGAGGACAGTACCAGTGTGGCCAGATCTGGCATAATTGAGTGCATCGAAATCGACAACAGTGACGACGAACTTCCTTAGCGTCTAACGGAATGGTGGGGATAGCAGGCATACACTACCGCACGAGCCACGTGTACGTGAGCTCGGCACTTCGCACAACTTCGGTAAATCGATAAAGAACGCTAGTGTGAGCCTTTCCTGCTTGCTCTTGTAAAAGAGAAACAGCTGAAATACGACCTCGCGATAATCGGCATACGATTCCAAGTCTCGACTACCCCAGCATTTTTACTTTCCGACCTATATGTAAGGTATAAGGAAATTTATAAAGTATCATAATGAAAAAAAATTTTGAAATTGTTTTTTAGCGGAAATACACGTTTTAGGACCCCCTCATCATATTGTGACTACTACAAAAAAACATTTTTTTTTTTTGTTCCTATGCTATTGACATAATTGCGTCTAAACGGCTGAATGAATTTCAATGAAACTTAACATTGAAGTTTTATGTTCTCGTTTTAAGGTCTCATTATATTTTAAGCGTGATCAGTTCCCATATAATGATGACTATACGTCTGTAGTTTTATAATTATTTCGATACATATACATCATTTGTAACAAATTTTTAAAGCGATTTATATAAATCTTAAGAAGGATTAAGATCAAATATACTTTTCTCCTATCTTTCCTAGACAGGAAAAATTAAACGAAATCTTATGCCTTGCATACCTACCTAAACCACATAAAAAACGTATTCCACAAATATTTTAGAATAATGTTGTTCAAAGCAGTCTTACTCGTAAAGGGTTAATTAAGGGTTAATTAAAATGAAAAACTACTCTTAGCCAGTACCGTGCACGCTACAGAAATAGATTACTACTGACTTTTCCCACTATGTTTTTTAATAACCGTATCAAATTGTTACACACAATCAAATGTTATATATTTGACTTAACTTTACATAACAAAATAATTGTAACGATAGGTAAAACAATAACGTGCACGCTACCGTTCAATGGAAACCACGGGAAGGTGGTGGTCACTTCCATCAGGAGGGAAATGTAAAAAATTGTTATTTCTTTGTAACATTATCACATGCCGTATATTAAAATGTTTTTATTAATGTAATGAAATTACAATATAATGAAAAACTAACTCGTGAATGCATTAATTTTTATTAATATACACACGAGCCATAAAAATGGAAAAATGATATAATTGTTTACATTTCCAAAGGATGGGATGTCGGGATAGGACGTTTGCGATTAAGCTGGCACGTTATGTCGTGCATTGTTGCTCTTACGGTACCGTGACGTAAGTGTAACAAGGCGCGACATTCTACGTCATAGCCACACTATCTACAGCAAGCAATTTCACTAACTAAAAATATACGGCAAAATATAAGCAAATAAATGAAGAAAAAAGATGATAGTTAGAGCAAGCAGAATAGTATTTACAGCAAGCGAAATACGTAAAAAAAGTAACAACGCGAGACAAATTGAACGACTATTTACATATTAGCGATGTCTAAAAAAAAATATTTTGGACATCACTAACAAGACTGCGGTTGCAGTGTAAGCGCTTTCGCGTGACGTTATGGCACATACATGTATCACACCTTGTTGCGCCTACGTCGCGGTACCGTTGACGTAACAAGACCAGTCTACCGCGACGTCGCATGAAAACGTTTATACTGTCATTGCAGCCTAATAGTACGAATTTACTAAAGAGCTTTTCTCTGGAGAGAAAAATCTCTCTAGAGAAAAGCTCTGTAGTAAATCGGTACCTTAATTTTAGTCATATGACGTAGCGGGAAAATTCTCAAAGTTATTGTCATATGTTGCGTTTAATCTTAAATTACACTTTTGCTTCTTAGCAAATCTATGATATAAATTTTTGGAATACAATAGAGCTAGATGATCGTCATCTACCTCCATGGGTTGAGAGTTTTCCCTCTGCGCCTTTAACGAAGATTTCACAACGCAAATAGAGTTGAGGCTGGCCGAAGAAAGTTTATTCCGTTTCTTTGTTTTTATGTCAGGTAACATGGAAAACAATCTTTCTGCATCGGCATTGGAATTTGGAAGTGATCTAATTGTATTTACTAATTTCATCAATTCAGGAAATTTAATTTTATAGTCCAAATTTCGCGTTAATAAAATTGTTTTCCAGAAACCATCGAATTTCATCTCGATAAGCGTCTGTCTACCTTTCGTTGTAAATTCCAAAGGCAATACTGACCATTCTGTTTGCAGTCCTTCTTCGTCGAAACCGCCGAATTTCTTAGCGATTAAGAGAACATTTCTGAAGGAAATGTCTCTATTTGTATCATTTAATATTAAAGTGGGTTCAAAAACATACAACTTGCTAAGAAATTCGTCATCGATTGGCAATCGATGACGAATTTCATTTGCAGCTGTAATATAAAACATTAAACAATTTTTCCTTACGGTTTCTACGATGTCGGACTTGCCTTCTGCATTCAGTTGATGCAGAAAATTAAGACACTCTGTTCCTAAATTTATACTATTAAATGGGAGTTGATTTTCGACTACAGAAAAATTCATCATTCTTACTAAATCCATGTGTTTCAAAAGCTGCGGTTTCAGAAAATTGCGTAATATATCGCATAAAAGTTCTGCCGCAGTCTTTTGAAGCAAATGAATTCTTGTCTCTTGAGTTTGAAAGAAAATGCTAAATTTATAAAAAAACTCAAGAGCGTAATTTAGAAAATAAAGATATGCTTTGGCCTCTGGATTTTGCATCGAGATTAACAGACGTTCCCCGGACTCTGATTTCTCGCTTATTGTCAATTCTTGCAAAAAAAGCAATACAGAGTCCCAATTCTCTAAAAGTGTAACTACGGATGTATAATGCGATAACCATCGCGTAGAACACAATTTTTAAATTTTTCTGTCGGTTGTTTGAAAACATTGCTGAAATTCGCGGAATATAGCCGAACGTTTGGGACTACTGTATATGAAAGTTGCTACTTTTCGTAACAACTCCTCGCATATGTCTGGAATGGTATTGCACGCTTCGCGCACTACCATTGCAGACAGATGACACGGACAGCGGACAGTCAAAAATTTGTCCCTGCATTTTGTTGCAAGCTTTGTCATAAAGGACGAGTGTCGCCCTGTCATGACAGCAGCGTTGTCACATGACAACGCGACAATATTTTCGAACGGAATTTCTCTTTGTATCATGGCAATTTCAAATGTTTTAAATAAATTATCTGCGTCACAATTTCTGGCATCGAGATGTAATAATTCTACCAATTCCGTTCGAACATCCAAAGTCTCGGGTGCAAC